ACATGATTTTCCCTTTCTTTAAATTCCACTTCATATCCTAACTCCATACTCAAGAAGAAATGAAGAAACGGCTTCTTTGATGCCATTGACAGACACAACTAAATCTCTTTATTTTTTTGCAGCAGTAAAAAAAATACATTAAAGCAATTTTGTTTTGCCTTTTGTCATCATATCTGATATGGCTACTGATGGCACTCCAGTGATTGTTGGTACAAAAAGAAGGACTTATAAAATTAATACAAGATGATGCAATTGCCACCGGCAACTCGCATTTGATGAAATATCCCTGCATTGCACATCAAGAAAAATTATTTGTGAAAGTCTTAAAAATGGATAATTTCATGCAAATTGTCATCAAAACTGTCAATTTATTAAAGTTCAAGAGACTGAATCATCACCAATTCCAGGAGTTCCTTACAAGTGTGGATGCTGATTATGGGGATGTCATTTACTTTTCTGAAGGAAGGTGGCTAAGTTGAGATAAAATGCTGAAAAGTTGTTATGATTTGTGAAATGAAATCATGTCCTTTATGGAATCAAAAGTAAAATTTGTGCCAGAATGTGAAGATTAAAAATGGCTCACAGATACAGCATTTTTGGTGGAAAGGTGCCTTCTAACTCAGACCATTCTTCGATTCTATGATTCTGTGATTTGATCACTCATTTAAATGAGTTAAACCTGCATCTCGAAGTTGAAAATCAACTTATCTGTGCTACGTTTCAAACCAAAAGAGCATTTGAAATGAAACTTAAGTTATGACGATCTCAAGTTGTGGCAAATAATGTTATGCATTTTGATATATTGGCTAAACCCAGTCCTGTGAACAGTGACAGATCTGAAGCTGTGCTTTCCATTTTGATAAAAGAATTTGAGAATAGGTCTCAAGATTTAAAAAAAATCATCAATGCTTTGGTACATTTGCAACTCCATTTTCAGTCAATATAAATACATTACCTGTGAATTTTCAAATGGAATATATAGAGTTGTAATCAAACATCCAACTCAAAGAAAAATTTGGTCATATCTCTTTCCTAGGGTTTTATAAGCCCTATCTTACTAGAGAAAAGCATGCCTCACTTCACAATCATGCCATATTCACATTGTAACTTTTTGGCAGTACGAACTTTTGTGAACAATTACTGTCAAGGATGAAGTACAGGAAGGGTAGCATTTCGTAAAAACTCTCTGACAAACACTTTGAGAACTTAGAAAGAATTGCAGCCACTGCCATCAAACCAGACATTGACTCACTAATTTCACAAAAGCAAGGTCAAGTATCTCACTAGGTTTGTGTTTTTGGTGCTCTCTGCTTTTTTATGTTTCAATTAAAAAAAATACATTAAAAATAGTTTCTTTACTTATATTCATTAACATATATCTTATATGTGTCTCAAGACAACTTCTGTTTGTTCAGTGTGGCCCAGGCAAGCCAAAAGGTTGGCACCCATGGATTAGTGGGCTGGTGATGATGTGTTGACAGTAAGACTAGATGATTTTAGGGGTCTTTTCCAACCTTAGTGATTTTTTCTATGATTCCCTATCTGTGGAGGTACAACAGCCAGGAGAAAGAAGACTCGCCCTTGGCTGGCTGCTGGAGGAAGAGCCGATATTAAATTTGAGATTTCACCATGGCTGGATGGTTTGTGCTTCCTTCCTTAAGTCTGACCTTAGTATTTTATTTATTGTTTAAGGGATAATGTTCATGCCAGAGGAATATATGAGGCAATAAATGGTCTTTGCAGGTAATTAAATGCTGAAGAGATCCAAAGCTACTGATAGCTGTAAAAGCCATTTATTCTGCATGTGCTGTGAAGCCAGAACTACCATCCCTCATAGAGTGGAACGAGACAAGATTAAACAAGCCACAGTACTTGAAAGGGGAAAGACAACATTTTTCTTGTCCTCTGAGGGCTTGAAATTTCTGAGCTGCTGTTTATTTGGTGCTTTGAACAGTCAATATTGATCGTAATAATATGTAGTTTTCTATCATGTTATTCTTTTTCTTCTAGCAGTTGTTAAACTGCTAGAAGGGCTTTGCACATGGTGACAAGAACTGATGCTGTTGTTGGACAGATGCTCCGATAAAGGCACAGCAAAGAAGGATGCCTTGCCCATGCAATCAATGGGAAAGTCTCCGGTAAACCCAGCTCCTGAATCTTAGCCTGGTGCCTTGCCTGCTGCTCATTCTCTCACAGTGCATATAGCATTTGTCAGACCATCTTTTCAGTATGTGTACACAGAACGGGTCCACCTTCTGACACAAAATGTTGGTGATGTAGCACAGTGTCTCTACCTGCTGACTGCAGAGGGTGTGAATGGGAGCACTGAACAAGATCCCTGCCCCACAGGCTTCTCATGCACATTGCCCCAGCACACTTGAAGAATTATTTGCAGAGTTAAATGAGATTTTGTCTTTTTTTAGCTGAAAATTCACTACCACTTCTATGGAAAAATTTAGGGTCAGGTCTGAGGTGCTTTGAACCCACTTGCCATGGGGACAGGTGACATCTCAAGCTTCACTATGATGCAGATCCGAGGCTGGGGATCTCCTGGACAAAAACCTGGGGCACTACCATAGCTGTTTCCCACCAATAGTTCTCACAGATCCACATCACCTCACAGCTGACAATACCATTTAGAAGACAGAGCAGCAGGGTGGGTTTCACAGAATCACAGAATCACAGAATCACAGAATTGTAGGGGTTGGAAGGGACCTCCAGAGATCATCGAGTCCAACCCCCCTGCCAAAGCAGCTTCCCTACAGCAGGTCGCACAGGTAGGCATCCAGGCAGGTCTTGAACATCTCCAGAGAAGGAGACTCCACCACCTCCCAGGTGTGTTTGTTCCCAGGTGTGCCAAGCCACTGACTCAGGTTGGATATTAGGAAAAATTTCTTATCAGAGAGGTGAGGCATTGGCACAGGCTGCCCAGGGATGTGATGGAGTCACAGTCCCTGGAGGTGTTCAAGAGCCGTGTAGATGCCAGCTGAGGGATACAATTAGTATGCACAGCGGGGATGGGCTGACTTTTGTACTAGATGATCTTAGTGGTCTCTTCCAACCTTAATGATTCTGTGATTCTGTGACTGTGGGAGGGGGACCAGGCATGGGTTGCCAGAGGCATTATTAACTCAAGCTCAGGAGGGTGATGCTGTGTCAGCAGGGCTGACTGCAGACACAGGCTGTGGGTGCTATCTCTGAGGCATGTCAACATCACTATAAGTGATATACACATGCATCAACAAATCCCACCTGGCCCACGTGAGCCATTAACATCTGGCAGCTGGCTGCAAGCACAGGTGAGTAATGGCTCAGGGGCACTTGCTGCAGGGCAAGGTTAAAAGGTGGCTCCTGTATGGTGTAAGTGGATTAATATGACTGGACACGATGCAGGCCTCGCCTTTCACATCTGCCAGTGTAAATCAAGAGTAACCGCACCGAAGTCAATACATGTGTTAAATTCATTGGCACACAGAGGCTGAAAGGCGCATGGTTTTAAAGAGAAGAACATCTCGATTATGAGCTGAAAATCAGACACAATGAAAAATGGAGCTGCTTTGCATGGTTTCCCGTGGTGCTTTATTATGGCCCTGCACCTTTCATGCAAGATCTGTCCCAGTTGAGGCTCTCTCAGACCTGTCTGCACAAAGGCCTCCCATTGTCCTTCATTATCACAACTGCAGAGAACACCTGTCCCGGCTCGGTGAAGCAGAGGGGCCTCTGTGCTGACCTCGTGCAGAGAAATTCTGGCTTCGAGGGAGGAAGGAAGGACATTTAGGCAATGCAACACCACACAGAGACTCAGAGGCTCAAGCTCCAGTGCTATTGAATATAGCCTTTCATTATGAATAGGAATATTATTTATCTGCCTGCAACAAAAGCAGCCTTGGAATCTATCTCCTGGGGTCCATTGCCACACTTTCCACACCTTGCAACCAATAATGCAACACTGCTAATGATAACCTGTTGGAGTCAAAAGCGGGTAGCAGCCAGGCTGGGATAAGCTGTGAAGCGTGTGTGATGGCAGAACCCAGCTCTCAGCACTCATATCTCAGCACTCACTTCTGCAGTGAAATGGTGGAGTGGGAGATGTTCAGGGTGTGTCAGCCATGGCAGAAACTGAAGCCTTTCATCACATACAGCCTCACCATGCAAAAGCAAAAGCAAATGCAAATGTAAATGTAAATGCAAATGCAAAGACAAATGCAAGGCCTCCTGAGCTGCTCTCTGTTCTACCGAAATCCCTTCACCCCTTATAAACATTCAGATTGCTGCAAATGCCTTATTTCGGAGGAAAATTATATTGCTTTTCAGTATTGGCTCCTTCTTTTTCTCCATTATGCTTAAGAGTAGCAGCTGGATTTCTCCACATAGGAATGTTTATGCCCCGTGTGCACACCCCCCTCTCAGCTTTATTGTGCAAATTACACCCTTCAATTATTCCTGCAAACAAGAAATTTTTGGAATGCAGTTGTGGACATGAAAACACCTTTCTCTCATTGTAGACATGAAAACATGTCATTGAGTGCATAAGAGAGAGTCTGTTCCCTTGGCACTCATATCACTGTTAATGAAAGGCAGCAAAATAATTTAAGTTGGGGTGGTCCTGCTAATGAAACCATAACTTTGCACCTCTCTTTCAATTCCTTTGAGACTTCTACCCCAGGGCCAGATACGGTTGAGGAGGCCAGAATTCATGGGAGAAAACCGGTAAAAACAGGGACAGCGGAGATACACAATCCTTGTTTCCTCAGAAAGAGAGATTAAGGAGGCATAAAACAATCATAAAATTGTCCCTGTCAATGTTGAGGCTTCTCAACACAGTGGTTCTCAGCTGAGAACTTCCTCGACAGCCACGAAGAAAGGCACTGTAGATCTGTGTGCTGCTTCCCTCTGGAAAGATCTCCCAGGGATCCGCACTGCTCTAGCACACTTCTAGCATATCTAGCCATCTCTTCAGCACTATTAAACCTGGAGCATACATCGACAGGGCAGCCTACCTGCCTCGATACGTCTGTCCTCGTACACTTCCACACTTTCTGACATGGTGCTGTACTGCTGGAAGGGCTGGTTGCTGAAGAGGTGCTCACACAGGAGGCTGCGGCACAACTTCTTCAGGAAGCGCAGTACATACCCAATGCTGTTCACTGCCAGCAGGTTCAGGAGGTGCTGCTTCCCCTCAAAAAATGCCGAGACTGGAAAGGAAACAAGAGCAGTTCAATAACCATCAAGGTATGCATGTTTACCATTTGGGAGCGAGGAAGATTTCACACTAATATTTGTCTGCATGTCTCAAAGTATTTTACCCAGTCACCCCACCTGAAGTCCAAAACAGACTGGAAGAGCTTAAGGACCTGAATTCATGTGACCCAAATCACTTTTCCCTGGGAACACTGAAAAATGCAGCCTGGCATGAATGGCAGTGCAAGGATATCTGAGAGAGGCATCCAACTGAAAACTGCTCTAAAGAAAGTTCTAAAGAAAATGAAAAGATGAGAATCAAAGATGTTGCTGTGAACAGAATAAAAGGTACCAGGGTTCTACTGAGGAGTGGTCTGCCTGACTAAATCAGGAATCTTTACTTAGTGGCATAACTACACATATAGGCAAGGGAGGGGTGGTCGTGGTCTATCTGGTATTCACAAGAATCACAAGAATCACAAGATTCGTTAATCCATGAGAAATCTTTCATTAAAGTGGAAATCAGTATGTGTGAAAGGTGAGTGAGAAGACTCCTCTGCCAGCAGGACAGCTCTTGTGCTCAAGAGGAAAGGGCATTGGTCAACACTGGCACAAGAACCTGCTGCTGATGCTGATGCTGGAAAGCATCTTCAATGGAGAAGAGGACAGAGATGTCACACAGAAAGGACTGCCTGATCTTGACAATTGCAATAATAAAATTGGCTGGACATACAATACTAAGAATAAAAGCTATCTATCTATCTATCCATCTATCTATCTATCTATCTATCTATTTATTCATTCATTTATTCTGAGAAGCTCAACAGGATCTGATCAGAGGAGAAAAGATGGGACAAGCTCACCAGAGATGCCCACGAACCACCTAGTTGACACATCAATGAAAAAGATAAATAGATTTCCAGGGGATGTTGCAAAAAAAAATTCCAGGATAGAAGAGGGATTGTCAAGTCCTGGTGAAACCTGAAGTGATCTGTGAGCAGGATGAGAACCATTCTCAAGATATAAATCAAGGTGGGACTCAAAGGTGAGAGCAAAGAGATTAAAATTCCTGGGTGGAGCTGTCAAAGGAATATTTAGCCAGAATTCAAAGAGCGCACAGGTCCTAGCCCCCAGAGAGGTGGAGGGGTCACAGCAGACCCAGAGGACCACTTGTAGGAGGACACATTCAAGTGCCAACAAATTTGCAGGGAGGACTATGTGATATGTCTGCCTGAACTTCACCAGCCAGAAGGCTTTCTCTAGTCCTCCATCCTTCAGTCACTACTAGTAAGTCTAGTTTTCAGTCTTAGGCTCATTATCTTCAGAATAGCTTCCAAGATTCCTGCAGACCTGAGCTACCATATGGGATTGCAGTCCACATCTGACTGAGCAGTCATGAGCTGAGCCATAGAAAGGTGATGACTGCCTGTGCTGCTGCTGGGATGGGAGAGAGCTGCAGTCTCAGAGCTGCACCATGACCAGTGGGCCATCATCCCTCCTGGGTGTCCAGAACAGGCGAGAGGTTTGGGACAATGTTGGCCAGGTGACTTTAACTCAGGTACATGAAGCCAGGACAGCTCAGAGGAATTGAGAACAGAGCATTTGTCAGGCTCGTTGATAATGTGACCTTTCTGCTTGCAATGAAAATCATGCAGCACAGAGCCAGGAAAAAACAATGGAGTTTTACAGTAAGTTACTCCAGTTTCATGTATTTTTGACCAAATTTGTGTCATTCTTAGCATACTTCCAAAGTCTTAGAAAAGGCACACCTGCAGTTAGAGAGCACATAGGAGAATTAGAGAAGTGGGAATGAAGCAGCAGTGACGTCCTGTTCCACACAGTGCATGGTCCCTGTACAAGTGCTACAACTTCTGGGGTTCACAGTGCTTGGCTTGACTCAGCTGCAGCTCTCTGAAGCTCTGAAGAGCACTGTTCCCACACTCCCATCATTTCGTTTCCACAGCACCCCCACGTGCCAAGACAGCGTTGTGGCACAAATCTCCTGAAGTGATTAAAAATAATTCCCTGTTCAGTCTGAGAGACAGGCCAAGGCCTCAGCATGGGACAGGAGAGTCATCCAGACACAGTGAGAAGTGTCACTCTGGAAACATGAGAAGCTCCTGAGAAATTCCCTCTGATCTCTGTTTCTCTCCGATGTATTTATTTAGAGATGCTCCATTGGATGCTGCTGCAGGACTTCTGCAGTTCCTGCAGCTGAGAGCAAGTTCAGCTCTGGGCCTGCAGTTGGACACATCAAAAGCTGAACCCCGTGCACTTTCCTTCAGAGCAACATGTGAACCTCACACAGGGTTCCAGAGCTGTTCTTCATTGTACAACTGCATGAAAAGCTCAGCTACAGTTGTAGCTTGAGCAATGAGCGGTGAGCTCTGAAGCTAGCCCTGCTCCTACTCTCATTTACTGCTGCAACACTCCTTACTAGCACACCTCCCTTTCATCATATTGACACTGGTGCAGCAGTTCATTTTACACAAGCAGAAGTGATGTTCAAAGCTGCTTGCCACTCTGTTCATGTAAACGGGACAGCTAGGACAGGCAATGTTAGGGATCATGATAAGGCTTCAAGTGTTTTCCAGTTGTTCACAACCCACAGCATTACAAGATTGCTGAGGTTGGCAGGTGTCTGCATCTGTCTGCATCTGTCTGGTCCAATCCCTGCTTGAGTTTGGACACCCCAGCAGGGCACCCAGTCCCATGTCCAGGTGGCTTTATAGACATCTGAGGAAGAGATCCTACAAACTCTAGGCAGCTTGTGCCAGCACTCCATCACTTGCACAGCACAGCACTGCTGTCTGGTGCTTAGAGAGAGCCACCTGTGCTCCAGTTTGTGCCCACTGGTTCTTGTACTGGCAGTGGACACCACTGAAAAAAACCAAGCTATGTGATCTTTGCACCTTCCCCCCAGGTATTTACAGATATTGATGAGATCCCCCTGAGCCTTCTCTTCTCCATGCTGAGCAGGCCCAGTTCTCTCAGCCTCTCCTCACAGCAGCGGTGCCCCAGTCCCTTCAGCATCTTGGTGCTGCTTTCCAGCTAGATGTCCTGGTGCCTGGGGCTGTTTCTCCCCAGGTGCAGCCTCGCACTTCTCCTTGCTGAACTCCTAGATGATCCTGCCAGCCCCTCTCTGTGCTGTTGGGATACCTCTGGGTGGCAGCATAGCTTCCAGCTGAGTTTGGTGCCATCTGTAAATTTACTGGGGAGGCTCTCTACTCCGTCAGCCAGAGCGTTCATGGAGTTGTTAAATGACTGAACCCAGTACCAGCCCCTGGGGTACTCCACTTGTTACTGGCCTCCCACCCCTGCACAAAAATGCCGTACCTGACACCATCTCTCCTCCATAGCCTTGCTTGATGAGTGAGAAGACAGTCTTTTGCTGAAGCGCACAGTCGATGCAAGCCTGAACAGCCTGCTGCAGGACTGAGGAAGGTCTCTCAGGTCCAAAGTGCTCTGGCAGTTGCTGCACTTTCTTTTGGTCGAGGTACGGCCCCAGATTAGCTTGTTTGTTGATGTAAATGCAGACTGTGGGCACAAAATCTCAACATGGTTATTACAAAAAGGCCCTCAGAGCACCCAGCAAATGCTAGCTTTATGTATTTCTATTAATTTCATGAGCTCTTTCATTCGTGAATCAATGCCATTTGTGATGATACAGTCAGGCTTCCCTCTGCTAATTACCCATTGCCGAAGTGAAGTTAGTGAAGCTTGGGCCTTTGCTCATAGTCACAGACAAGGACAAGCTGAGGTCTTTGAGTTCCCACAAATGACCTGTATGTGCCTAGGGTTTGGGCTTTGCAGACCGTCCATGCACCCAGCTGGTGAGAAGAACAGGGACCCAGGGGGTGAAGGATAGTAATGAGCCAAGGTATTTCAGCAACAGCTAAACTCTACCTTGAGGCATTTTGGTATTTTTTTTTTTTTCTTTCTGTGTGTTTTTTGGGCTGGTTTATGGAGATGCCTTTTGAAAAACATTGCTCTGATCTTAGTTTTATGAGACTTTGGCTCAAGCTTTGGCTTCTGGAAGGTGATTTCAGGGGGCTAGGCTGTGCTGCAGTGCTACACCATGGGCTGTGGGAGGTTCTTGACCCTCCACATCCAATCCTTTCTGACCCCCCTTGTCCTGCATGCTGCACCACACCAACGGGACAGTTATTGCCTGCAGCACCAAGCTCATGGGGATCACAAAGGCACATCTGCAAGGGATGTGGGTACATTCCACGAGGTGGAGCAGGAAGTTTTTCTGTGCCGTCAGACTTGCTTGCAATAGCCAAAAAATCAGTGTTCTCCCTGTGCTTGTGTAAGCATCTTTAAGCCTGGCTGAGGCTAACCACATCTCAGAGGCACAGACTGGTGCTGTGGTAACTACAGGCGACCGAGACACAGCCTGAAGTCAGGCTAAAGTGAGATGTATTATAATAGCTGGCTGAGTGCACTGGAGCTGTCATCTCTCAGACAATATAACATTATCCTCTGACAGAAATCAGATATGTGACAAAAAAACATCAAGCAATGCGGAGGACATGATGACAGCTGCGTAAAGTTGGAAATAATTTACAGTTTGCATCGCTATAATGAAAATCTAGTGCGACTGTCATAGCACACACTGCCACCACATCCCTCACCCAGCGGCAGAAGGGGCTCAAGCAGTATATCCTGGGTAAACAGGACCATAATAGCCATTGTAATTATTGTTACATGGCACCGTGCACTGTCAAAGCACCGAGCAAGCCAAGGCACAGTGCACCCAGGGACAGCAGCAGCATGCATGGGTTGCAGGATGCTGTCAGGTGAATCTCACCAGGTGCCAAGCCTCACCGGTTCTGCTAGCTTGGGCCTGCCTCTGTCCCTTCATCCCTGCTGTGGCTGGAGCCTTCACGCACCAGACACATCTTGCAGTGCAGCAGAATGTGAGATGCTGCTTGGCGCTCTGCAGCCTTCATATGTGACAGGATAAATGAGAATAAAATATATTATTGTCGTCACAATGCTTAGTATCATTTCGCTACAAGAGCAGATGGAAAACTTCTCCTCTGTGCATCCCAGCTAAGAAATAATGGGATTTATATGTTTAGTTTAGAACCTAATGTTATCTAATCCATTTCTCTGCTGAAATCTCTGGGTATATCTACTGTCTTGTTGATTTTCTTCTCATTTACAGCAGTTTAAGGCATTGACCTATGTTCCTTCTGCTCTGATAAGTAAACAAAAAGGAGTAAGACTACCATCAGAAATGACCAGGTTTGCTGTTGCTGTGAGTCACTGGGGTCTAGGTGCTGGTTAACTCCCTCTTCATCTTTCTCTTCCCACAGAGGCAAGAGATACTCCCTGCTCACATGGTTTTGGGTGTGGTCATTGTGACACAGATGATGGGGACAGTATCAAGCATAAAATGGTGTGTTCATAGGATGCTGATGCCTGCATTTCAAGAAGAATGGGCCCAAAGTCTCTGCCATACCTGGCACTGTCAAAGCACAGTCCTACAGTCTGATCTGGAAGTCCCATTTTCATGAACTGTGCCTGCTCTGGAAAGCACAGAAGCTGGCTGCCAGCTGTGGGATCTGTTCAGCTCCTTGCTGCAGCATGCTTCAGTCTACATACCTGTAAGAGCCTGTGGGGTGGTTGATTTGGGGACAGTGGCTGCATCCTGTGGAATTGAACTCACATCAGGCTCTGGCGTGCTTCTTGGCGGAGAAATTGGTAGGGGAGTCATCAGGACACGAGACTTCAGCTGCAAAAAAAGCCAATTGTGTGGGTAACAAAAACAAACACCAGATATTCCAGTTTCGCTCTGCATGTGTCCCTCCCCAGCAGCTCCCACCTGGGAGCAATTTGCAGCCGCAGGCTGGGAGCTCTACACTGGCAGGAGGCAGGAGCCCACAGCCGGGCTGATTTGCAGCAGGCAGCAACACTTCCAGCTATGGGATGCAAATATTATGCCACCCATGGGGCAGTTATTTACACCTGAGCAAACTGGGCATAACACTCTAACAAATCAGAGCGGTGGCATTTTACAACCTGTTTCATGTGCGTGTAAATAATTCCCAGTGATTCACAACAGGGAAGACATGGGTATTTTATCCATATCATACTTCAGGCTAAATTCTGCTCTTGATTATGGGGGTGTAGAACTTCTGTGGATCCAGCAGCACCATGAGGCTCCTTTGGGTTGGCACCTGTGTAAATAAGCTCAGACCATTGTCCACAGTGTGCTACTACCCAGCAATAAATAACAACTGTTGCAGTTACACCCAGCAATGTTCATGACCCACAGCTTGTCTCCGAGAAGAAAAACAGTGTGAATTTACAGCACAACATTACCATGTATTTTAGGTAGAACTGAAGCCAGACCATTAGCTACAGACCAAAACCTCCAGTAGTCCTGATGGAGAATAGAGGTTATTTGGAATAAAGATTTATGTTGTCCATGATTTATAGTTGCAACCATGTAAAACAAGCATTGCTTTGTTAGTGTGACAGTAAGAACGGGAAATGGAGGAAGGGAGAGGGGAGGTTGCTGGGCCTACCACCACCAAAGGGACTTTTTTAAATCTTAGGGAGTTTGGGCCCTTCCCCGGGTAGTGGCTTATCCCAGCAAGGGCTTCACTTAAGAGGATTTTAGGGTCTCTCTTGATTTCAGTAGCATGGTAGCTAGTACAGGGATGGTATCCATCAAAACAAACAAAACAGCTGTTTCACTTGCACCCTAGCTCTTTGTCCCTGTGCTCACAGCTCACTGGCTTCAAGCAGAGGTTGCTGGTGGAGGCAGAGGTTTGCCAGTGCCCAGCAGCTTCTTCTACCTGGTACCTGGTGCTGGAGGCAAGGCAGGCTGCTGTTCAAGAGCAAAGAAAGAGAAGGCAAGTGTTGCCAACACTCAGCAGTTTGCAAGCTCCTTCTTGACATTCTGTTGGTGTAGTGAGAGGTTTACTGCAAATTTAATTGCAACGGTACGTGCTCTTCAGCCTTTGGGTACAGATAAATGCCATATTTATTAGAGGTAGAAGAGACTATGCCTTCATTTGATCAAAATTAAACAATGCCTAATAACAAGAGACAGCATGGTAGCGAACATGTCTGAAATACCTTCTGGGTACCAAAACCCACAGCTGTCCCTGTGTCTCACTAAGTGCTTTAAATTAAAGGTGTCTTTTCTCGGACTGACTCTTCTCTATCAGAAACCCAATCCGCCAGCTGAATGAGAGCTGGGCAGTAGAGAGCACGTGCAGACGCAAGTGAAAGAAATGGTAAAAAAGAGAGAAAGAGAGATTGGGAAGACAGAGCAAATCTGCCAAAGCACTTTGGGAATTCCTTGCAGTAAGGCTCTCAAGCGGCTTTTGAGTACCAAATGCCATAAATTGACTGAGTACAGCACAAGAGAAAAAAGACAATGGTTGCTTTAGAACACATTGTACAACAACAGCCCTGGTCTTATTGACCATGGAAAAGGGACCAGAGGAAGCTTGGGGAGAAAACAAGCACGTCTGCTCGGCAAAGTCACTGTGCATTAGAGGCAGAGACCATGTGGGTTTTCATCTAGTTGATGCAGGCTGTGCGCTGATTTGAGTATTCAACCATGACAGGGATGACTCTGGTGAGCCCTGGGGTTTCTGATATGCCCTGAACACCCACATGGAGCACTCAGCAGAGCTGGTATTTCTGCCATCCTATACAAAAACAGGGAGATAGGCAATGGTATTTCCCAGATACAGCCCTCCCCCCTCCAGGTTCTGCTGCCTGTTACTTGGATGCCCTCTAGCACTGCACACACCCTGCAGCAGCACTGCTCTGGCAGTGCAAGGAGCAGGGCAGATCCTCCCACTACCAGGCAGGGCAGCTGGACAATCTCTTGCTAATGAGATTTAGAATCCTGGGAAGAATTCTGTGCTTAGGAAAAATACAGTGTCTTATTGCTTGTGTGTGCCCCATCCCTGGAGGTTTTCAAGGCCAGGTTGGATGGGGCCCCAGGCAGCTGAGCTGGAGGGTGGCAGCCCTGCCCACGGCAGGGGTTGAGGCTGGTTGGGCTTTGAGGTCCCTTCCAACCCAAGGCAGTCTGCGATTCTGTGATTCTCTGGCAAATAGCCAGCATCAGGTACAAAATGATTTTTGGAAAAAGAGCTAGTGAAATTTTATAACCGAATCTGCAAAAAAGAATAAACAGGTGAGTGGAGAAAAGGGCTTTGCTCTGAGGTGAAGCATGGTGACATGTCAGTTAAGGAAGACACAGACATTTGCTTTAATATCTATGAAAACAAGCAATGGGTCATCTGGTTATAAAGAGTATGTGATTAAAAATGTATGGTATTCACATCTTGGTCAAAATAAATTTAAATCTAGGCTGTAAATTCCTAGTTTGCTAAAAATTCAGAAGTATTTTTCCATCTGCTCTGTAATAATTCGGCTATCTGGTTGCTATAAAGAATTTGGTTGCCTGCCACTTGGCCATAGTCATTTTTAAAAATGCATTTAAATCTCATGGCATCTGAAAGTTGTACAATTAGTGAGCTAATTAAATCAAGCTCGAGTTCCCCATCAAAAAGGCAATCTTTGACTCATGCTCAGACAGAGCATCTCGCTTCAGCTGAGTGCACTGCATACAAAGGCTCCTGCCAGAAAATGTTTCTGTGGTGTACAAATCCTGCAATGTAAAACAATAGCACGGGGCCAGACACCTCGGGGTACAGACCTCAGAACACTGGGCCATAAATCGTAATGGCATTTCTTGCTGCTAGCTGCCACTCCCCAAGGAATAACATCATCTCGATGGCGGTGCCCAGCTGCCCTGACACTGTGATCCAAAGCATAACACCATGGCAGAACCATGGCAAATCTGAGCCTTCCTCTCTGATTCTCCTGTGCACAGACTGGTGTTGCGCAAAAGGCTTTCTCACAGGAGGAGGGGTGAGATTGGTGTGGAGCAGAATGTGCGACCAACATCTATTTTTCACGTTACAGATCCATTGCAAATGGACAGACAGGCTGCTGACACACCATGCACAAGGTCAGAGTGAGATCTGGCAACCAACTCAGGGCTCCATTTCACCACATCTCCACAGTGTTATTACATCAGAATTGAACAGTTTTAATCCAGAGGTCCTACAAGTGACCCAGCGTCACTGATAACATCATTGGTAACTGCAAGTGACTGAAGTAAATCAATTCAGATGTTTCCATCCTGAAGTTTTAATTTAATACTGAAGTAAACAATAATTTCTCAGTATTTCCATATGCCATGTTTAAAAAAAAAACCCAAAAGCTAGAAACAATCTATTTTTTTAATAGGGTGGAAGAGGAAGCGGCTCTTCTTTCTTTCTCCACCCAGCACTTGCACAGTTGCCTCCTTTCCTGCATTTCCCCTGAAATCCTAGGACAAAACTTATTACAAACAACAGGAGGGGAAGAAGAGTGTGAAAAACACATATCTACCTTGTGTCCGGGCTTCCTCCCTCTCTTCTTTGGGATCTTTACGACTGGCAGAGCCCCGCTGGGTGCAGAGAATAGGCTTTGGACGGTCACCTTGATGGGTGCAGGCTGCAACGGGGGCCGGCCTCGCTTCCTCCCTGCAATGCGGGGGGATGGCATGGCTGCGGGGTCCTGGAGGGTGGGCAGGGGCGGAGAGTGGCTCATCCCAGGAGCTGTGGGTCAGCCAGGAGCAGGGAGAAAGAAGAAAAGAGCTTTCTACTCAATTTTTCATTTCATGGCTTTTCCGAGCACACCAAGCAGTAGCACATTTTCTCACATCGTCATTTTGTCTTTTACTGTGGACCATAAAGCAACAACGAATATGCTACAGGCATCCACCCATCGTGCAATTCACTGACCACATGCAACTCTTACTCCTCCAAAATGAGACCAGTCTGCAGGCAAGCCCATTCCTCCCCACGGACCGTGAGTACAGTGCAGGGAGCTGCATCAGGTGGCAAGATCTCTATTGCAGGTGGCTAACAGTGAATTCCACAGTGGCATCCTTACCCTGCATCCTGCAGATGAGCTGATGAAGGCACTTTCTTGCACTTGTTAGGATCACTGAGCGCTATCCCATGGCCTTTAAAAAGCACCGCAATGTCTCTGTTGAGTCCTCATTTTGCCAGTGTCAGAGATTTGGTGGCCAACCGGCTCAAGTAGTGAGCAACTCACTCGGTGCTGGATGTTCCCACCCCGCTTACAGTGGGATACTCTCCTGCAGTCCCTTCCAACCTGCATTTTTCTACAACCCACTGATTCTGCAGCTCCTTCCTCACCTTGGAAGCACTGCCCACATCAAACAGGCCTCCCCCCCATCTCACAAAGCACAGCCTTCCCGAACAGAGAGGCAGAGCTGGACCGCCAGGCTGCCGGCACAAAGTAGGAGGATTGCCAAACATTTACTCTCTGCAATTTTATAGCATCTGTTACCGCGCATGCTAGTAGTGGGCTTTTGGATGTACTCCATCAAAAGCTGTTATTTCATCACAACTTCGTGCAGCTGATGAAGTTGAACAGGGGTAATGGAGTGGAATCTGGTCCATTTCCCTCTGTCCAAGTTTTAATAAAGAAAACAAATATACAACCATACACAGAGAATCAAGGGAACACACAGCGTTCTTCATAGCTTCTGGCAAGGGTCGTGTGCTAACAAAGGTCAATAAAAAACCCATGCAGAAATAGCTTTTTGAATGTTGTTTTTTGCAGGCATCTGCTTTTCTGAGCGTGGGCAGAATGCTAACCCCGGCCCCAGCCGGCATACATTGCTAGGCATAAGGGCATAAGCAATTCTCATGCTTTTCTGATAAGCCTTGCTATGGCTGACGTTTTCAATTTCATGCTCCCCCAGGCCAGTGATAACAGAAGACTCCTTGCTTTACATTTTTACAGAGCTGACTCCTGGCCCTCTCGCTTATGGAGAAAAGACTGAAGATGTGGTCCCAGTGCATCCTTGATGCTCAAAAGAAAAAGAGAGCAAGCATTACTACAAACAACTACAGATTTCTACAAAATCTACAAACTACAAATTCAAATCTAGTCATTTCAGAAGCTGAAATGATCAGACTGAGCAGAGCTGACGTTGCTGGAAGTGAAATGAGGCTGTGCTACTGCGTGGTGCAAAGGGGCTGCCTGGCGAGGAGTGTCTGCTGCTGGGGATCCCCTGCCTCGGGGGTAAATAGGTTCTACCTGGTCAGAACTTGGAAAGCACGGCTCACAGACAGCTAGCTCTCTCCTCTGGTCTTATCCACTCTGCAGTTTACAGAATCAGTTGCTGCACGAGCAAAAATAGAGAGCTCCCAAGCCCAATCCCCAGTAAATGCATTTATTTGAAATATATTAGAAACAGATTTTTTAAATAACATTAGGGCTATCTGCTCAGCTTAGGCAGATCCATTACATATGACATATGAGTTGTCACTTGAATATACAGTTTCCAGTCTTTAATGTCAACTGCCTAAAACTGGGTGTACAGCATCAGGTCAGAGTGAGCGCTACACGACAAAGCTGCCACCTTGTACCACACTGTCCAAGGACACTGTGGTTGCATCTTCCACTTATGCTCAACCAGCTCAGGAGCCACCTGAAAGCCCACTGAAAATGTCTGATTTTTACCGAATAGAAGTCTGGTGTGCCTGTGAAGAGTGTAGTTTCAGGGTTAAAAGCATCAGGCTTACCACAGCAGGAGTCAAACGGAAGGGCTGATTCTATCCTGAGCATCACTGCTTTCCTTCTATCTACAGCAGCATGCATCCTCCTCCCTGTAGTGCTCTCTGAGTGACATCCTCTGTGTCTCTTCCCTCTCCCAAAACATGGTGTCTCCAGGATGCCATGTTACAGGGCAGGGGGCTGGGCTGGGTAGCAAAATGTGATGCTGGATGTGGCAGCTTGGCAGAGCCCTGGAGGAGCAGTGGTACCCACACCAGTGCCAGGCTGGGAGCCAGCAAGCTGTGAGACATGGGACAAGGATCTGCACTGGATGCTGCACTTTGCATTGCAGTTGCTGTGGTCTTATTTGGTGGTGACAGGTGGTTTGGTGGCACCCCAGAACTCAGAGAGGTGACAGCCCCCAAAGATGACCAAAATAATTTCTTTGAGTAAAATGTCGCTTTCTTTTTAGAGCCAATGAGACATTAAACATGTGGCTGCCAGCACACACTAGATATTAGCAGTCACTCTATTTTGTCCCCTGTCCTCTAAACTCGAGATATGTGACACTGCCTATCAGCAAAACCTCTTAAGCCCCTTCCCACATGTGCCAGCATATAGGAGCCAACAGGACCATGCATGAAATAACCTCAGTGTAAAGTATATAAATAAACAAAACAAAGACAAAAAAAACAGAGGCAGTATAGAAACTACTGTTACTGCACCAGCCATGGCTTGGCTCTTCTTTCCTTTATGCTTCAGGAAATATAAGAACATTTTTGGTGGCATTTACTGTGTTACACTGCTGCAGATGCTGGAAGACAAGTGTGCTCCCCAGCAGTGGGGAAAAAGAATAATGATGCTCGGCCCTCAGCTCAGCTCCCGAAAAGCTTGCTGTCGTAGGGAACTTGATGACACTTAAAGGTGAATCCAAGGAAGAAAATTACAGGCTGTTAACAGACACCTCCCTAATTCAGGGAATAGCTGTGGCATAAATAATTGGGGACAGTATGTGAGGAAGAAATCTGCAGCTCTTTGCCCTGTCCTTGTACCCTTCCTAAGGCAGAAGCTTTGGACAGCCCTCACCATGGTGACGCTTCAGACTGACCTGAGTCTATCACTTTCCTTTCCTCAGTTTAAAATAACAGCAGGAAACTGTTTTACATGTACAGCTTCTCTTCACTTAATGAGGGCTAGGCACAGAGTAACCTTCCCTTATCCTCACAAACGATATGGTCTGCTGATTTTATTTCCAGCCCTGCCTCCCACGTTGCCCCTTCAGGTGCTGGAGAGCAGGCACAGAGAAGGGAGTGCTGCAGGAAGAGTGATGCCTTGCCCATCTGGGCAGGCAGGGATACGTGGGGACCCCAAGCACCTCCACATGCACAGCAGGACATTTCCAAAAGCCCATGCTGTGCGCCATGCTTGCCCTGCATCATGTGTTGGTATATTTGCTCTGAGACTGGCAACACTGTGCTGGTGGATGCAGTTGATAGCAGAGGGAGCTACAGTGTATTTCCTCCTAAGCTGAGGATTTTTGATGGACTGCAAGGATCTGTTCTTAATAAAAACAAATGCCTGTAATAAATGCAGCTTTTAACCTACACTCCAGTAACTGCAAGGGAGTAAAAATATCACATAAAATTTTATATCAGTAATTCCAGATCATGATCATTTAAATTTGGCTTACACCAAGTCTTATGCAAACCTGTGCATGGGCTGGCATTAGGGAACGAGGGAACTGTACGTGTGTTAATCCAAAGCAAGGTGCAGAAGTGAGTTGAGCAGGAAAGGTGTCAATTTCATAGCAGCTGAAGGAGAATCCCCTCCATTCCCAGTGAAGTCACTGGTCCCAGTTGTAGGGACCCAGGAATCCCAGGTCCTGGAATTCCTGACAGCACCCGCAGGTCTGCCCTTGACTCCTGCCTTCTGCACATCTCCCAGGCCTACATTACCAACATTTGTGTGTGGAAAAGATAAACTTCTCATAAGCTTGTGTGGACTTCCTTCAGCTGTTGCTCAGGAAAGCACAGCCTGCAGGGGAATACTGCATTATTAAATGGAAGGAAGATGATATTCTTCAGCCAGTGACAGGACTGTTTTTCCTTCCTTCCCTACATGCAGCTGTGCTGCCCTTGCACAGTGATCATCTGGAGATGACAGCCTGTGTGGTGGGTGAGAAATATGAGAAGCATTGCTTGAGCTGGAAGCAAAGCTTATACCTGTGTGCTCCTTCTAGATAGTATTTGGGGACATGAGGCACTACACTCCTCTTAATTTGAATATCAAAGCAGCTCAGCTTCATACATGAGAGGTCTCTAGTGAAGCAGGCAGTAGATTTTTTTTGCAAATAAAGGCATTGAACCAATATTGTCTTCCTGTCAGTATGTGGTTGCCTAATGTCACTGTATGGATGGCACCCATCTCACCACTGCTTTAAGAAAGAACAAGATAATGTCCAGCTGTGGCATGAAGTTCTTTAAGCGTGGCTTCCCTCTTTTCTTACAATGGCCCTGGGGACAGAAGCAAGAGGAAACTGCTTCTCTAAAGGGCCGCCCTGCCCATTTTGACCAAAGAAAGAGAATTTCTGTCTGTAAATCTTGAGACTGTTCAGTCAACGGGATTTGAGTAGAAATACCCATTTCAAACCAATCATTACAGATACAAAAACCACATCTGTGCTGGCTGTGGGAATCAAGAATGAGATTCACTACTCCTAATTTCAAACCTTAGTCAATTGCCTCAGCATAGGTACCTCCTGTCATTTCAGATCTTTCAGATGCTGTGTCACATCTGCCAAAATTTCTTGGGCACTCCAGGTCACCTCAGATAGCACCAGAAGACACTTAGGCAACCAGATTTAGCTTTAGGGGAGATTTCAATGAAAGATTTCACCTAAATGCCTACATTCAGACAGTTATCCAAAAATATCTCCACATGGTTGGATGTGTGACCTCCAAAGATACCAGCTAACCAGATGTGGATGTACTTTATGATGGGCTCAGTGGCTCTAGGGTCCACATGC